AGTTCGTTAATTTGCATCAAAGTTCGTTTTCAGCTTATTTAACTTTAAATTTTACAAGAGAATTTCGGATCGGATGGTTTTTGTTGGAAAGTTGACACTTAATACCATTCAAGGTAATGTTATCATGGTAAAAATACCTTGTGTCTTATAAGGTAATGTTACTATGGTAACCATGAAATGCTTGCCACCGGACAAAAAACCGATGGTAACACTAATTGGTGCTGACATACTATTTATTTACTAGCTGTGAAGTGTGAAGGAATTATGTGACTGTGCGAGTGTGCGCACTTCATGAAAAAAAAGTGCGCAAAAGTTACATGGTTCAGGTTGAAGGGTATCGATCATTCACGAAAAAGAGTTGGTGGTTACTATCATGGTAACAGTTGCTAATTGGTGTTTGTAGATTGTTGGTACTGGTAGCGAGCATAATTTATATTACTTCAACTTGGGCATAGTGACATTATTTTTGGGTTGGTAGTAATTTTATGAGGTGGTATACGGAAAATATCAAATTATAAAGGAGCGTTATTGAAGTAAACAGTTTACTGACGCACTAAATCATATCAATTTGACGAAATATGACAGTTATAGCCAAACGGTTTATATTAGATTTAAGCGCGAAAATTTTGTGATCTAATATTTTTATCAAATACAGTTTTTAGAAGTCCCTCTTTAATGTGGTTTGTCGTAAAATAACCACGTTGTACTTGAGGGGGCCGTGTTATATTATGATAGCTCTGATCCATCTTCCGTAGAATACTTTTCCCAGGTGCTGGCATTTGAATTGAATTGAAAAGTGCTTCCTGGCAAGCCAGGAGGGTACGACTCTAATAACATATAATAATGTAACATATATATATATATAATATAAGCATAAATGAAGGGCTGAAGACTGTGGGGGTCCCGGTCTGCTCAATCCTCTAATGAGAACTGTAAACAGAAGCTGGATCACCGCCTCTAGGAGTTTATAGCACGACTATGGTATGATAGATTCGATATATATTAAACCAGCAAGACTCAAGAAATATATTATAAAATACAAAGTTAAACTTTTATATTCCACTTACTATAACTGGAATTAGCACAGGGCTTCAATGCTCTGCCTTTTAGTGGCCACTTTGACCAGAGCCCCTTACGAAGAAGAAAAATATGTTATTCGAGTTTTTCATATAGAGGTGAAACAAATTTTGCATATTTGTAAGCCACAGGGACTGGTTGAACTTGGTTAAATCGCTTCCATCCCATTACATAGTACTCAATAAATGTAAAAGAATTCATTTAAGAATTCATACTCCAGGGCAACATGGGCTGTGGTAGGTGACTCTTTTTGTGAATACATTTTAAAATAAAAAATGTGATATTTTTGGTAGGTTGTTAAAGCACTATACCGCAATGTTTAGTGGCATTATGCCAGTTGGACTCGAGGAACATAATTCAACGACACTGTTTATGTGCTTATGTGGTTGTCATTGTTTTATAAATTCATACACGTTTAGTGGTTAAGGAGTTTTTAAAATTGTTTATTCATGTTTGTTTGCTTTATGAATAAAGCGAACAAATATGAATATTTATTACCACTATTACCACCCAGACTCTTTGATAAAACTTTTAGTGGTAGAATATATAGGATTAATTTAGCATATGGAGTTCATCTTTTTATGAACACAAGTACTCAAAGTGCTTAAGTACTTTAGGAATTGTCAGTGTTGCAGTTATATAACAAGTACGATGAAATATTTCCTAGTATCTTCCTTTTTAGAGTCTGTTTCCTTTAACTTGCAGGATATAGACAACGTGGCAGTTTATATTACTTATATTACCGGATCCTCTTTGAGCAAGAGTGGAGAGTATGATATTTCAGTCTGTGACAAGTTGACCAACAGTGCAACAATGGATTAGCGTACAGGAGGTTGTGACTATACTATAAGGTGTGGTAAAATCCTTTTACCTGCTAATGGCTGAGTGAGAGGTCATAATTTTCTTTTCAAGTTCCGGTTTGATTAAATATCTTGAAGCTGTTCCATATTGTTTTTGCTTGAATTAGTAGAATTGAAAACAAATGCTCAAATGGTTGGGCATTGCAAATTTTTGTACACCGTCGATGAGAGAGTTTCAAAACACTGATTGGACGAGTTCTCAAGAAAACTGCAACTTACAATCATCACGAAAAAAAAACTTGGTGAACCAATCAGCTTACAGTTGCAGCGGTGACCAATCTAATATAAAAATCGATTTTAAATATTGTATAATCAAATTGGCATCACTTCCCTAGGTTGAGTTTTACATTTATTAATAAATAAGTCCAGACGTCATTACATGATTGCTTTGTTTCGACCCCTTTTTCTTAACCTTGTAAAGTGCAGAGAGAATCTAATAAGCTTGTAGTACTCTCCGTCGCATCTTGTACGTGACACAATAATATCAGCTTAAACTTTAAACATTACACATCTTACTATATAATTGTAAGTTTCAATGGTATATCTCTCACAGTTTCCGTCGAAAGTCGTGATAAAGTTGATGTCGTGGTGTCAGTAAAAGTTATGTCATAATCTCAAAACAAATAGATATTGTCTTGAGTCTCTCTTCAATATTTAATAATACGCATTTTACATGATTAGAAAGATCTTGATAAAGCAATGTTTTCAGTAGCAACACTGTTACTTTATAAATAGCAATGTAGCTATTACTTAAAAGTGATACTTAACATTCCCCAGCAATGACCTGTTATAATCCAATCTCGCGGAATCCTACAGTCAACTCCAAAGCAGGCTGACCTTAAACCTCGTACCAGTATAACCCACTCTCTACCTTCACAAGCAATTGTTACGACAGTAACCTTCTCTCATATCTATCTTGTGATTAGTGCATGGGCTGTGTACACACGAGAACAAGAACATTTTACTCGTTCCCCTACCAAAACAGCGAAGAAGGACTGTCCACCAACAACCTCAGCTCGACGACAATGGCGGGATTCTCAATATCAGGTCATGATCATTGCGGAGATCACAAGTCGGAAACTTCAAGTCCTAGAAAAGGGGGAAAGTATGGCATTGAGCAAGCAGTGCATTTAGGGAAAAAACATCAAAGTAAGGCTTTCAAAAGGATAGAGAGTTTTTCAAAGATCGCTGCATTGCAGGAATCGAGAACGATTTCTTTTGTGGATAAAAATAAGCGACGGGGTTTCTTTTATCGATCAAAATCAGATGACCAACAGCAGTTTGGTCATGTTGTCAACTTTTTGGATTCTAATAATAATACCGAGAGTTCGAAATACAAAAGACACCACAGATCCGAGAATCAGCTCCCGATGATTGAAAATGCTGGTGGGTCCAAGGGAAAACCGTACATTGTAAGACGGCAATCAGATTTGTAGTTGTAATTGTAGAAAACATGTTACACCATGTTCCATATTGAATGAGTTTTGTGTTGGAGATTTACATGTTATATATAGATGGCAAGGGTTGCTATAGTGACAGTTGGCAAGGGTATTCGTACGCTATTTCTCTGGGTGCAGAGAATGTAAATCTGTGGTGTGATATCTTGATATATTATCACAGCGTAATAATTTGTGTAAATTGTGTTGTGTACGATATTCAGCTCAACACTGTAAGATTGTAGTGATAAATGCAGATACTTTGGATAACTATCATCATTTAAAAGATATCTTATTGTTTTATGCAAAAAGAAATTATTCAGTTATTGGCGAACCTTTTTCTGTTGAAATTTTTGTATTCATTTTACCCTCCATAGATCTATCATTCCATTCCAACAATTTTCCTTAAATTGACGGTGAACCACTCACACTAGCTCACTTTAAATAAAAATCAATTAAGTTTTTAAATGTTTTAAAGTGAGTGGAGATTTTTATTGAAAATTATGATCAATCCACTCAAGAGAGCGGATAATGAAAAAATGTTTATGAATCGTTGTATAGCCGTGCCATGTATAGAAGTGTACACACAACATATTCTCGGTTGGTTTACTATATAGCCCCTACAGTGATCCCTCTACAGTAAGATTGAAATCTTTATTTTCACTTTGGAAGTGTCAGGCGTTTCAAACCCAAAATCTGCTTATTCTAAATTTAGTCCACGCATGTGCGATACGACTAGGGCCACGGAGGGCCTCAAACAATAATTATTTTTTAAAAGGTACCTTGTAGAACAGTACTTCAGGAAACATCTGGATAACGTGTGGTAAAGCAAAATTCATCTGAAGGAAGTTTTTCATCAATAATTTTGTTCAACAATATTCCATATCAATATAACGATGAAATTTATAGATACAAGTTATATAGATACATCGAAATTTGATTCGCTGAAAAATATTAAACAATAAACTTTTGTTTGATTCTTGGAAATTAATTGTATTAAAAACAGTATTTTAATAAATATTACCTGGTGACATGGTCTACACCATTCTGCTGTGAAAATTACGATAAGTAGAGTGTGTTTCTTTTCTTTTAGGATACTCTTGAAGGCTGTTAGTGTTCTGATAGTCTCCCAGTCCTTAGGGGACACAGCTGTCTCCTTCATAAAGTTATTTTTCATAATTATGTTGCAACCAAAGATCGCACTATTGACTCTATCAAATCAATTATTTTCATAAATATTTCCCAAAAAACAAGAAAATCTAACTACAAATACATATTGATTATGATACTATAAGTATAATTGGTCAGACTAGAATCCTTTTACGGGAGAGAATATCAATTATAAACCTGCGATGGTTTTACAGCATCAGGATGAGCAACGGGAAGATTGTGGTTATTTGATATAACAGTCGAATCTGAATCTTTCTGTTCCTTTGATGAGGGGGAAACCTCATTTCGGTTCATTTCTCTCGCCCTGAACAATCCGGTTGGAAAAATAATTTTAGCACTGTCAATTAAATTATTTCATAAAATTTCGATTGGAAATTATCCAGCGTATTGAAAAAAGGTAAGCATGGAAGATTAAATTCTTCATCAACAAAATGATACACAAAGTAGATTCGATTTTGAACAGACATTTATCGAAATATAAGCTATGCAGAACAGAAGAAGCACAAAAACGATCGAGTGACAGTCCCTTCACCACGAAAACCTCATAACCTGTCAAATATATATCACAGGGACTCATTAAGGTACCGTTACCCGTTATCAAGTCATATCAAGTAAATATGGCTTCTTTATAGCCACCGTTATTACAATTGCAACTTTGTCGATAGATATTGTCTTTATTGCGACCAGTAAGATGAAGTAACACCATTTTTAAATTCATCCTTTAAAACGTTTGGGAATATCTAATTTAAACGTTTAAAGATCCCCACTTATTATTACTAACACAAAGCATTTTAATGCTAAATAAACAATTCGGTACGATTTTAATAATAAGCTAGATAGAATTTAAATATAGTTTCTCATGCAAACAGATAAAGAAGTTGTATCCTAAGAATGTTCAGGTCTATACGCAAATTGTAAAATAAATCTATAATCTATATGAATAAAGAACGGGTCCCTAAAGTGCTGATCCTGATTCGAGAGTAGAGGCAATGTTACATTCAGTGGTTTGGGTTTGAAGTTCCTTATCTATCACAACTTTGTCTTTTTCGGCCACTTTCGGTATCTGAAATATTTTTATAAGTTAACTTTATTCAGCCATTTATTGCATTCATTCGAGGAGAATAACAATTTGTAATGGAATTTGTTTCATTCGAGAAGCATACGTACATACGTACATGTCCAATTATCATAGCACAGTAAAAGTAATATGGTGGAATCAAGCGTGCGGGAAAATTAGTTGATGTTTGATAATGGCTCATTTCATTTAGCATGCATGCAAAATTGGGTGCTTCGAATTGCTTTTGGGCAGCTGATATCATTCGTAGCGCCGTACTTTTCAAAAATTTTAGCTTGTTCAAAAACAAAGCTGTGACCCTTATCCAAAAAATCGAAATTTGATAATCTACGATCTGCTGCTTCGAAAATTTGCTTCAAATTCAATATTGCTGTACCTTAATATTACAGCTTCACAAAGTATTTTGTACATTAGTAAGCTTATACGCACATTTTTACTGACTTTTTGGCTTCTCACCTGAGAATATCCACCTCTGATCCCTATCTGCAAATTAACGAATAACTAGACATAAATTTATTAGTTTCGACCACAATGCTGCAATTGCATGCATATAAAGCTAAAGCACGATCAGTGTTTTATCTTTATTTATTTATTTTTGATATTTGTAATATCGCAACAGCACAATTATAGATTGGCTGATTTATTTAATTTTATAGATGGCGGTAGATACATATCATTGAAGTGAGAATAACTACAGTCACGGAAATGACGATCCTGACAATGAAGATCCGATCCTTTTTAAAAGATAAAGTACGATGTGTACGATACGAATCTTACCACTAAACACTCATTGTTGTTCCAAAATATTCACTTTCCAGTGGATTATGTACAGGATAATAACCAGGATTAAACAAATCAGGCATGCATTATAAGGATACTTTGTTTCATAGAAAATTTCTTATTTCATTGAAAGATTAAAGATTAAGAGATGTTGCAAATCAAAAACGTTGTAGTTAGTGTATGAAAGATAAACAGGTTAACGCTTTTGGGTTCAAAAGCAAACGTTTGTTCTTTATACCACTTTGCTTACCAGATTCGATTTTTCACTTGCTTCACTTTCCTATGATTTTGGTAATTGAATTCAAGTTCAACAGAAAATGGGGAGTTTAGTTTGGGTGTGGTTTGTAACACAGGGTTTTAAATTCGGAATTGGGTTTACAAAGGTTTACAGACTATATAATATGGAGGATCTTAATAAACTCATTAATAATTGACTCATATACTTTATAATTGAGATGGTTCTTACCCCACTAAGCATATTAGCCGCTGATATCAAGCCTGCCTCGGCTCCTGGTTTGGCGTGCAATGGTTGGTTACACATGTGGCAATGCTGCGACTCTAGGAAGGACTTTCTCTTTTCTGTTCGGCTCATTTCTAGATTCTGAAACGGTTTCAAATCAATTCATGTGATTACGAAAAACATATCTGTATAAATCTAAAGAATGATACTTATTATGAATTGTTTAAAAGTATAAACGTGGATTCTGGTGCGGATATGGGGCGAAACTTTTTGATACGTGGCAGGAATTAAGCATCAACTTCCACTATTGACCAATCAAACCCCAGAGTCCGCTGTCATGTATCAAAATAATTTGTTTCACCTCCGACCAGAGTTCACGTAAATGATTTTTGCAATACATGAAATATTATTATTATACATGTATGATTGTATCTTAATAAGATGTAATTAGCTTACTTTCATTGCATCCTTCGCAAAGCATATCTTATTTCTCTCAGGGTAGAAAACTATGATAAGCACTTTCTTGTAGAAGATAAGTATTAGGAATGACAGAGCTATCGTTTGAGCGGCGATAACAATCAAAAACTTTTGCCATATCCCTGGAAAATAAGTTCATTCAAGAAATTGAAAATCTGCTCTTCAAACTTTAACATTGTAAAAGACTGAATAATTTAAAATCACTTCGCTTTTGATAATATGATTTACAATTTATGACAGTAAATTTTGAAGGGCGCGAAGCTATAAATTGGAAGGTACTATTTGGAATTAAATCGAATATTTTATTCTCACCGGCTGTTACAAAGTAGGACGATCCGAACGCTACCATAACTATCATTGCTATGGTTAGAGCTAAACAAATATACTTCGCTTCCTGTGAAACGTTTTAATGAATAATTTTACAATTTGTTCGAATTTCTAATGGTAATCTGATTTCGTTCTCTTGAGTGGGTCGATCATATAATTGATATTTTTGGGACAAGGAGAGAGTCTTCACTCAGTTTTTTGTTTGAAAAACTGAGTGGAGGCTCTCATTTTGTCCAAAAAATATTAATTATATTATCTTATTATTCGAATTTCATTATTGCCTTTCACAACTGTGCCCAATGTAAAACGTGTATTTCTGTTATGGAATTATAACCCAAATCAAAACTTACATGGAAATTGGAAGGAAGCTTCCGGACTTTGTAGCTTAAAATAAGACTCAGAATAGAGAAGAATGCTATGTATCCAACAGGGACCGCTAGAGCAATGACTGTGTCTTGTGAATGCACTCCTGAACACACCAGTAGCACTGTCCTGAGGTAATGTTGATAAAAACCAATTATATGAAATATTATGTCATAAATTCCAACAATTAAAATTAGGTTTAAAAATTATAAACACACTGTACCTATCGTTAGGGAACTCTTCCTGTCTCTTGAGTGGGTGCCAGATGATAACAAACATGAGAATGATCATCTGTAGGAGCACTAACATCATACACACCATACCCTGCCACATCGGTTGTAAGTACTTCGGAGGTCCACCAGCTGACTTGATGGACTGAAAAAGTAATCACGTTAAGTACTTAATTGCCTGACAAGAAGAATGATACTAACATGGAATACCCTGCTCCCGATCATGTATGAATATAATTTTGCCGAGCAGTTAGTTATGACTGACAATTCATAAAGATATTTTCTAACAAAATTTAAATCTGATAGGGAAATTTAACCTGATAGGGAAAATACAAAATAGTATACCTGAAAGAAGAGTATGTAAATCCTGAATGTCTTCAAAAATACCGGCACAATCGTTAGTGTACCAAAAAGTACTCCAGTCATCAGCTGCATCTGAGGACGATGTTCAGTAGAGGATATTTGTCGGTTAGTATCTTAATTATGATCACAAGTTTCCGTACATTTGTATACCTCCGAGGTTGCATGAATTGCATGCTTGAAAGTCATCTTGCAATACGAACGAGGTGATGTGCTTTTGTATTCAAGACGAATTAGAAGTGTCGGATTATTTATTTCTTGGCAGTAACTGTGAGTATTTGCACATACATTCAGTTATTTAGTAATTAGGGATTGTGTGGAATCATTAATTTAATTAGTAATTAGTAATCAGTAATTACCAGACAAACAGGTGACGATGGTTCTCCAATAGAAAAGAAGGTAGATATAAATCCGAGGAATATACCAGCAAGTAACACCAAACAAAGCTCCCTACTGCTTGCTTTCACCAGCGGTGTGTCCCTGAATTCGAGCTAGGTTCAAAATTTAAAAAAATTGTTTTTTATGAAATCTATGATAAGTGATAACCGATGAATTACATTACCATGAAATTTGGACATAGCAGTTACCTAAACTTGGTGAATATCACGATTGTCATAGCAGTCAATATCATTCCAATGAGTGATATGATGATAAGAACTATTGCTGCAGGGTGTTTATAGTCCAGAAATGTTCTAGGGATCTCCGTACAATTTGTCTTCTCATCGTTTGTCCTTTTAAAAATATAAGTTGTTATGTAAAATGGTCGGTCTTGCTACTTTACAATGGTATAAAGATACTGGGTATAAAAGCTGATCAGTTTAATTTGTGATGGATTCCCCAAAAGAATCTACATAGAATGGGCCGCCCCTGTATTTCAAGTTTAGATGGAATGAAGAATGAAGATAAATAAATAAACTTACTCCATGCCCCGTTCGCATCTCTCACATTTAAGAGAATTCGTCGTATTTGAGAAATAGTAATCATCACAGTTAATACACTCCCAACAAGTCTTCTTCTCCTGCAAAATGTAAAGTTTTGAAAACCACTCCTTACACCGATCTTAACGTTAATAAAAAGGTATGGTACACTTCTAGTTTTAATAATTATACTTATAGTCCTGTGCAAGTTGTAATTTCAAAGACAGGGAAGACAAAACTGGCAACTGTTGCGGCACAATGTTTACCAGAGTTCTCTTCCACTGTCCGGGAGTACAGTCGACGCTGCATTTAGATACAGGTACAGGACTATTTCCAAAAGGAACTGTGTCATAATCGTCAACATATAATCCTGTCATATCCCAGTATCCTATGTCGTGGAGTGCGTCCTCTACTGCATCTGAACGGTTGTTGTACGTAAAACTGTAATCAATTCTACCATACTATTATAGACAATTATTACATCTTTTTTTTCTTTTTTTTTTTTCTTCTTTCTCTCAATTAGTACGTCTTGAAACCAGGAAATGTTGTAATTTTCAGCTGCTCGGTGACAAAAACTACTGTTTCTGTGAGTACCATTAAAGCATTAACTGAACGAATTGTTATGTCAGCTGTACAAATTATGCTGTTCATTTTGATGAGGGAAATTCCGCAATCAAACGGTCTAGAATTATGGTTAAAATAAAACTGAAATAACAAATACTGTTCATTGAACTCACCTGAAGTGCTGTCTTCTAGCTGACTGTGTTTGACGGTCAGATAGGTGAACATCGCTTCGAAGTCTCCTGTTGTATCGTTAAATCTCAATTCCTTTCTGGTCCGAGTTCGAGTTACACCTGCAAAGACAGCAAAGGGCTTATCTAAAAATAACATTATGTCTGCAGATTACTCACACAATGAACTGCAATGGCTTAAATCGGCAAAGATGCTTGCGGAGGGATTGCGTTAAATTAGCTTTTAATCGTTCATATTTTTGTTGTTGCTTTAAGCCATAAATTCCAGCAAGCGTATAAATGTTTAAATAATTGAATGGTGGCAATGTTGAACTTGAAATATGGTGTTAATGTTCACTGTCTGTTCATCTGAAATTAATGCGAATTCCATACACACTGCTTTATAGCCGAACGTATAATTGTGTTGTTAGCTCATTCTACTTAAAGCGTGATTTGATAACCTTGTACCTTCATAACTTTTAACTTGTTCAATCATGTGCACGGGGATTTCTCCTGGGATTAAGGTGTCAAAATGCCTTTTCTTAGTCAAGAAATTTTGAAAAATCAATGTTTTATCAATCTTTAAAAGTTGAATCTAGATTTGTTTAGATACTGTTAAATATCATCTCGCAGAGTCAATATAGATCAAAACCAATCGATTATATAATTTATTATACAAACAGAATTCATTTAACTTCTGATCGATGTTAATTTATCTAAAAAAAGTTAACACACGTTTTATACCTCTTTTCGCGCGAAAAAAAGGCAACTGGGTGACTTCATTAACCAATGAATTTAAGTTGTATCAGAAGTGAATGTGATGATGCCAAATACCTGTTATGAGCTCTTGAAATATACATTTTCCTATCGCCGAGTTTCTTAGGAAGTAGAGATCAGTCGTGTTTGAAATAGGTTTCGCTGCCTGATAGAATTCTATAAGTGACTTATGATTAAAAGTTTTATTTTGTCTTTGCCTAATGATGATATGAGTTATATTTTGTTCACTTTTACACTTTTGCTCACATCACTCACAGTCAGCCGCTCTGACATGGTTAAACACCTTCCTTGTGTTGTTGGTTAATCATATGAGCGGGATATAAATACCTCATTTCATTTCATTACTGTTTGTACAATATACAATGTACAATGTACAATGTACAATGTACAATGTACAATGTACAATGTACAATGTACAATGTACAATGTACAATATACAATGTACAATTTCAAAACATATTATCCTGCTCCCAACTCACCACGACACATTGATCAAGTTCCGAACTATTTCTTTCAGTTATTCCTTGTTCTATATCCTCCTTAAAAATGATATCATGTAGAGTGTGAGCAAACGCTTCAACTGCTAGCAATACGGCTTCATCGTAAAGATCCTGAGCGGAAGATTAACTAGGTGATAATCAATAATTATTTTGTTTCTCGGATTTACAAATTTTTGGTATCATGGTATAGTTCTAACGATGATGAGATCAGAACACACGGCCATAATTCTGGGAAAACTTGCATTGTTGGAATATCGTGATTTTAAAACGGCATTGAATCAAAAAAAGTGTTACGAAAAAACGGCGTTATTTTGCTGAAATTTGGGCTCAGCGTCGGACTGTTTTCAAAAGCTCATGATAAATTGTAATAAAATGATGCAATCATGAAAATTTCTGGAATCTATGTACAAATAACTTTTCCAAACGATAGCATAAAGTATGATAAGTTTACAAATATCCGTGTATTTGATAAACGCAATAATATAAGACAAGTCAGAGACACGCCTACTCGCATACATTTTGAACTATAACTCGAGCTACGAACGTCACAAAACAACTGCAGTTTCGGTGAAATGGCGCCAGGAAGTCTGTGGAACGCGCAGTAGAGCTATCGCACGTGAGAAATGTTCGAGTCAGTCTACTTTGTTTGGCGCGCTGATTCGTTTCCGTTACAAATTTTGACCTTGTACGCCATTTTGTCGCCATTTTGTCAATTTATACGTAATTTCGTAAATTTCGTCAATACCACGTTTAGCCAAATTCCACAGAGAGCTTATAATTTACTTCCAACACGAAATAAACATTGCTAAGGCCATGAAGTTACCTAATGGCTACTTTTAACGGAAAATCAAGTCATTCTGTGACATGTAGCGTCCTTTTGTCACTTAAATGGATGACGTTGACTCTAGAACATCGTGAAACTTTCCATCAGTAAAGCTAAAAGTATTTCCATTCTAAAAAACTTTACTTCAAGATAATTGCACGAAAGATGAATAAGTGTCTAAAGGTCCATTTGATTGAACTTGTCTTCAACTTTTACGCTGTATTACGTCTCGAAATAAGCGATCGACCGCGCAGGATTACCACCTAGATTAACATTCAAACCATCTGTCATGATGTCTATAAACCAATCGAATTGTAAATATAGTCATCATTGTACCTTGATATACTTAAAGTTATATTTAGACTTATCCCTGCCATTTACTGATTAATGGCCAACAAATACCCTACCTGTTGGTATTCCTTGTGCTGACAGTTTTCAAGTTCTCCTTTACAGTATTCTTCTTTGTAGTAATGCTTAAACCAAGGATTTTCAGTAGTCTCCGGTGTCAGATTTCTAAATTTTTACTTAAGTCATGTTTTTTGTACCCCTTCTTAATACTCTAATAGTTTTCATTCAAAATGCTTTAATAGTTTTTGCCTAAAACGACTAAAACTGAGATTTTAATGGAATATGATAAAAAAGTGTGATTTTTAGTTTAAAATAATTTACACTGCAATAAAGTGTGACCTGAAATTTATACTTGCCGAAAATGATCGAGGAAGTCAGTCACCGGAAAGGTTTTTATCTTCATTCCGATAAAATAGCCAATATTTGCCCTGAAAGGATATAAGTTTTAATAGCAAAACTACCAATAAAATAAATTCACTATTTCGATATTAATACTTGTCTGAATACCTTAATAAAATGCTGCACGATCACGGTATGACATTTAAATGAGCATATCTCTTTACCGCAATTCTAAATCAATTATTTGCTTTGTAAATAAGTTATTGTTTTGTTATTTTTGGAAAACTATTCTTATGGCGACAAGCATGCTTATATTTATTTACAACAAAGAATGATCGATCACTAATCAAATTCGCAGTCAAGTTTAATAAGAGTTGGTTTAATTTAAGAAAGTTTAGACTAGACAAACATAATTCAAATATTGTTTGGTATGAAGGCATGTAACATATTTTTGTGCTGTCGATCGTACTGTAACTATGTACTAAAGAACTAAGGTATACTTTTGAACTCGTCACCAACTGAGGATTGTTTTAAAGTACATTCTCTACTCACTTCATGAAATGGCTTATGATATTAGGTCTAGCGCCCCAAGATTCAGAAGCTATCCATGTAACATTGTCGAATCTAATACCATCAGCCTGTAAATTATGAAAAAGTTAGAAATGTTAGATACAAATCAGAGTAGTATAACTCACAGACACAAAGTGCAGATATACATTCCTCAAAACTATATTTCAATGCTATACAATCTGTCTGATGTCTAAATGTTCTAACTTCGTTCCAACTCATTGCATATTCTGGTTCTTTTTTCTTCCCTTTTTTTCATAGTAACGCCATGAAAAGATCAAATACAACTATAACCAACCAGCACAAGGAAGGTGGTTAACCATGTCATTTTCAAAGTGGGTGGCAGTACAATAAAACACTATCAGACCAACCTGAAGTCTCACAGCGCTCTTGATGACCTTTTCAGCATAGTCACGTGTAGCAAAGAGGACTATGACAGAAGCTGGTGAGGTGTTTCTGTTTGGAGGTTTCGTTACAATCCCCTTCAGCAGCTGGGATACAAGTTTTTCAATAGTTTTGATTGAGATTCAGCAATTGATCAAGTAGTATTGGGGAAAATAAATTAGTATGCGTCAATAAGTGACACAATTGACAATGACAATTGAAAACGTATTTTAGTGACGCTTTTGAAGATTGGAATATAATTGTATAATCAACCTAAAAGCCGTGAAAAACAGAAACCTAAAAAAACGAACCTGATCCAAATGATCCTGATCAGTAATTTTACTCTCAATCAAAGGATGAAACTTATCCACAAAAGTGTTTTTCTTTTCCAACAAATGTGTCAGCTCATCAGCTCCCTCTCTTCCATACAGTTCAGGAGAGTAGATTATTGATACAAAACTCCACTTGTAATGATGGATGATATCAGCCATTGCCTTACATTGGTACTTGTCAGAAGGAACAGTTCTGGCAAACATTCGGAATCTGTTGGAGTCAGAGAGAAGGTCGGAGGTTGATGAGTAAGCTACCATTGGAAAGGAAAGTGAACCTGATGGAAAAGAATAATTATCTATCGAACATGAAAGATCTCAAAAAAAAAGAAAGATCTTAGTTAAATGATGAAAATGAAGAAAAAAATTTACTATTCAAGTATTCAGCCTCTATTTCAAAAAAAACCATAATCAGTATTTATAACAAAGTCATTTTATCTTGACATGTGAGTTTTCACTCACCTAAGAGGGATGCAAGATGAATGGCAACCATACTACTCCCGGGTCCGACAACTCCGAACACGTTTTTTGCTGCGAGCTCCAGAGCCTGTACACTTGCAAACGGAGCGTTATTCAGTGTATCTCTTATCTCGTAGCCTAGTTAAAACTTGTGATGATAAACCTTTATACTTTTATACATGGAATATATGCAAATGGGGTTTAGATTGATCACGTTAGTACTTTAGTACTTGAACTGCACTGTGATAATAATTTAGCTTGTGAAATAAATGTTTACAAACGTTTCGTAGTTTTAGCTTCAAAAGATATGGATGACCATGATTTCAACTCACCTAGAGTAATACCAGGCAGGACATTCTCATCAGCATTGACTTTGTCGATTGTCCAAGCCATCATTTCTGCAAGAGCCACGTTTTTGTACCTTATGATTCCTGTCCTGTTCTCGATTCGTTGTAATGGGAACAATCCTGTAAATGTGTATTGAAAATGATAGAAACAATTTTTCAGCGCCATGAATAGTAAATAGTATAATTACGTATTCAAATATTTGTTAGCAAAAACATTATTACACCACCTCCAAGAATGACATCTCCATCTTTTCTGTAGACGGGTATATTTGTGTAGTGGTGCAGCAGATTCAGCTCCGACTCGGTGGTGTGGTCCTCCTTTTGTTGGCAAAGATCGCATTGTAAAGGAGCTGCGAGTCCAACACTGAAAAAAAAACCGGGATCAATACAATTTTACACAAAAATACATTGCAACCATGCGACTCATAAACAAAACTCCGATCCGGATTTTACACTGACTAATACCTCACATTTATGATTTGACTAATTATTGAAATCTGTAATGTATCGCAATGAGCTGTCGAATAAAATGAAATGGAAGGAAATCCCGCAGCATGCAAAATAGGGAGAACCGGTGAAGAAGCATAAATTTCTAACGTTTCATCTCGTTGTCTTCATTCCACCCTACATGCCAAAGTGCTCGCTATACTAACCATGTATGGCTCCAAAAGTAAAGAGTGAGTGAAAAATAGCAGAAAAATGAATATGACAGAAAGAAAAGAAATGTTGTGTTCCTCTCGTTATCTTATTATTACTAAATAATTTAGTCTAAAATGAATTATTACCTTGCACCAACTGCAGCAGAAGCGTCACAGTTTCGGGTTAAAACACCAACAACAATGAATATTACAGAGAGAGTTGCAACAAACATGTAAAGCTCTTGGGGAAATAATAATTGATTACAGAAGCTCAATACTTTAATAGGTTTTGATGCAATCCTGCAAAACAATGAAAGTTATAGAATCGATAGTGCGAATGATTAAACGTATCAGAATTAAGACGCCGTCTCTTATCACAGCATGCACTATTTTACAGATCATTGACGAAGTTAATCTGGCAGAAATCCTGTAACAAATAGAATTGTATGGAAAATATGCTTGAATTGAATGATTGGGCCACATATTTCCATGTCAAACTTCGAACCAATGAAAACAGCACAATTGAATTGAATTATCAAGGCCTGGTTGCCTGGTCGTGCCTCTATAGCGAGACAGATAATCAATTTATTGTTCTGGCATTATTCGTGCTCTTCATTTAGAATTAAATAAATTCCTTCTATTATGGAGTCAGGCCGGATGTGGACTGACTACACCTGGTTTACCGTATCTAAAGTCTGGTCAATCATTGTATGTAATTCTGAAATATGATCATTGTTTAGGTTTTAGCACTGAAAAAAATCAGGAATGTTTTTCACCGTCTTTCTCAAAGTATCTAAGAATGTATCACGGGAACTAATTGGCAGCAATAAAATCGGAGCTTTGAGAATTGTATGGCATGATTGAGGGTGCAGGTTTATAATTTCCTGCATTTGTATATTGGCAGACCGAGAGAAAAATATTTGTCAAACATAACTGAATCTAAATTATTTGTTTTCAATTCTATTGCTAACCTACTGAGTCAATTTGAATTGCAAGTGATTGTTATATTTTTATATATGTTAACCTCAACATTCAACAAGGAACTTCTTGACTTGCAATATAGGAGGATCGTGTAGGTCCATTTGGGGGTTTGTGCGGAAATTCACTTGCACGTGTGCGTCTGAATATATTATCAATCAAAGTTGCTGTGATTAATAATCAAACATTCGCAATATTACTGAAAAATTAGACTAATTAGATGTGATAAGTTTGAAGTTTTTGTAGATAGCAGTTGATGTGACAATGTGCTTGCGAGTCCAAGGTCAACAAGACTGAGTGACAAACTCTAGAAGTAGACAGTCCTGAAATTAAACAATGGGTCCCACATCCTGGGGGTCTCTTTTGTAATGCCATTTCGTTTAAATATTCACAAGTTACATTAATATATATTAATATATATTATATATATTAAATATTCACAATAGCACCCATAAATATAAGCCTATTTATACACTAATTACATTTATAAATTTATGTTTCTTCCCTTTTTCTGTTACACTTCTAATGAAAATTATAGTTGAAAGGCGTTTAAATTTTAGCAGACGGTTATAATTATTACTTTTTAGGAATGTAGTGCTCTAATTACTAGTCATTAGTTACATATTCCTGCAGCTGGTGGTAAATGGTGCTCCCATATCAAAGTTGCTGTTCAAAATCAATGTTTCATAACTCGATAAATTCATTTTCCTAGCTCATAACTTCCTAATTTACCCTAACGCTACCATGGCGAAAACTTGTATAATCAAGTAATTATAACGTACGCGTGCAATTTTGTAACATATCAACTGGAAACATATACCGTTTAATGACACTAATTGATGGAGCGTTAAAAGAGAATGATTAACCTTTATCTCACCTTCCTAACACATTCATTCCGCAGGACAGCCGAATAATCTCGATGATTATTAAAATGATTCTCATCACTGCTTTGTATTCAAACTCCACCACCACCGTGCAACCCTACTTTCAAACGTTAACACTCTTCCATCAGCTTGAAGGTTACAAAATGGGTTTTATTATAGTTCTTGGTTAATTACTATCATGTTCGAGCTTTTCATTTGTAATTAAAACGAGTCCTTAATATTGTGGAGCCATGCAGCGTGTAGACCATTACATGGCTTTACTCAGATTTCAGATATAAGTTATAACTATACTAACAACCTCGCGAAAAGTTACGCATGGAAGCGTATCTAACTAATACTAATTTATAAAATAAAGAAGAAGTGAGAACTAAAAGATTGACAGACATTTAACAGAGCACTAATAGTATAAAATGAACGACTTATTAAACTAATTAAACAGCCTTTTCCTCATTTCGTCAAAATGTTCATGTCTTGTTTCACCGCAAGGCTGTCAACAGTTTAAAATAAACGGATACTGTAAACGTTTCTAATCGATTGTAAATGAAAAATTTCTTTCCGACGACTTAAAGTCGCAGTATTCAAGAAGCTCAGTCGAAAATTTACTATAAATTCCTCAGATAAAAGCTTGATTGTGCATGTCAGCAGCTTGTTCATGTATGTCACCTTGCTAAGCAATACCACTAATACCAGGCCAACCAATCAATTACGTTTAGCAATAGTTATCAAAAACATTTGCGTAATTCAAATCTGGTACGAATTTGTACGACAAAGAAGGTCAGAAGGTACCGAACACAAATCAGTGTTGAGTATATTGTGAGTATTGAGGCGGTCATTACATGTGTTCACTACTGACCACCTGTGTTTAGCATAAGAAAAAGACTCGCCGTGTGCCTACTAAACTTTTGATCATTACTCGAGCAGTTTATTAGATTATACCGCTTTGGAACCAGCTGCAAACGGTAGAAAACTGTGAAGACAGTATAATTCAAGGCCGTTTGTCAATTTCTCTGTTTCTTTAGAATTTGAAAGGGCCGGTTGACTTAAGCAAATGGCAAATGACAAATTCTGAGGTACATAGTTAACATTCATGCGAATAGGACAATTTAAAACCTACAACACAATAATCTTATACGTACAAACTCAAAGCTAAAGATTTATGAAGTTGTGATAAGTTATGCATACGAACCGATTATCATAACAAGGCTCAATTTCTGTCGACTTACACGTATAAACCTCTAATTTTATACTGGTGCGGGGCAGTACACTCAAAACGAAGGGTCGAGAATCAAGATAATATAATCTTGTGTAGAAATAATTACACAGATTCTCAATTAAAGATAGGAGTCATGGCAATGCATATCGGAACATAAAACTTGAATGATTTATTATAGTACTAAAAATCATTCAGCCATGAATTACAATTGCTCATGCAACAATTTTCACACTAAAGCTCCAGCGAAAAGAATAATCAGGTTTATATAATGAGAATCAGATAGCATAACTACAGTTACCCCTAGTTACCGCTGCTGAATAATTCTACCCACAATAACTCTTAATCCCAAACCTATTATAACATTAACTCTATAACAATGAAAAATTTCGCTTTGCCGAGTAAATTAAATGACTACCTACGGTCTAAGTTCATTTTAACAAAGAAATAACAAATTTGTTTGAAAGGCTCCGTTTTAATATATTTTACCCATATAATAGTAAACTTACACTAAAATATGATAATCCTCGTAAACCAGAACAGATCCAGTTTAAACTTTTAAACAAAGGTTATATCCGTGGTAAACCAAATGTGTATATTTAAATTTAATCGTTATTGTGAACCAACATTTTGAGACCTTCTAAACTAAGAGCTAGACTTTCAAAAATCACCACTGCATTGTACAGAAACAGTATACATAAGAAATATCAACACATAGAATATTATACTTATAGCCATACCATTGATAATGCAATTATATCTTAGAACTTTGTCTTTAGAATAAAAGAGAAATCTGTCCTTGAACATTTGACAATTTGCACAGTATATCGCATTAAATGTTTCCTATCATGGCTTCTGTTGCAAAATTACAGTATTCAAGCTAATATTCGTTACAATCAACAAAACTACGCTAGTAAACTCTAATTCAGATAAACGTATCGTGTTTGCCATGCCGGAGTTGAGTTAGACAAGAAACTGAAACTAAAACATCACAAATATGCTGACCTGATGAGATTGATGACAGGTAAACGAGTTTATTCGAGATTCTAATAAATTACACATTATACATTCCCTACGTTTGTCAGAAAATTAGTTAATTCCTTGGAAAAGCATTGACAGAAATCTGTAATCTGGTTGGACGAAAAAGAGTGAAGAGGTAAATTTAGGGCAAGGGGAAAAAGGTAACATCCTAATATGAACGGTAAATAAAATTGAATGGAATAAGATATTTATAAGAAGATGATCCGCTTTTTACAAATGTTAAATGACGGCGATAAATCAATCAGCTCTCTGTGTCCGATACAATTATTAAATCGTAGCCACATGTACAAAAATGCCTTAAAACTGAATTTTACAAAGCCTATAAAAGTATAAAGGTGATAATTAATTAATTATAATTCGATCTGATATGTTAACCAATAGGCACGTGTTGCAGCGACCAAATAAACATATAAACTCATTGTTGTTTGCTTCATTACATGGAGCAGAGTGGTCTGGGGGAAAAAATAAAGTTAATAAAGGAAAATAGAATTGTGCAATGTATTTGTAGTATTTCCTGCTCTTGGAGTACAATCCAAAAATGATTTATTTATTATATAAAGATATAACAGACGATATATTTCCACTAAATTGCTGTTTGTATCTATATCCAATATCCATCTATTGCATGAACTCATGAATGCTTTGTTTGCATGAACACGTATGCCATGATAGATAAATGCAATCATTTTGTGAGAAATTATCATCATTGTTTTATTATTCGCAATAATAGCCTTTGACCACTTTATTATATCGCAAACAAAAGTACAAAGTTTTCACATCACAACTTCTGTAACATCATTGAACAAACCCGAGTATAAAATGTAATTTCCTTGCCACGTGTGTACTAATGAATTGACCTATTACCTCTCTAATCGACGTTTAGGCAATAGTGGACTTGTAATCTTGCAGCTATATTGGAATCTCACACAGCCGTGAAGACCGCAGAACAATAACAGAATTTTAATCTTGCAGCTATACAACAGTTATAGTAGACACCGTGTAGACGACAGTGAAGATTTGTAAGAAGCTACTCCAACCGACAAACATGGATTTTAAGACTTAATTACTTAAAATACTATGATACTTATTAACTACCTACTTACCTAGTAGTCGACTAGCGTGAGACTATTAAAGTATTAAGAAAGCACTTGTGGACGCTTTTTGATTATTAACTACTTATTTACTTATCGTTATACTTAAATAATTAAATACTCAAATAATTTGTAAATATAGTGTAACTTAAGTTACGTTGCCCATGGGATACAGTAGAATTCTACTGTATCCTGGGCAACGTATCCATTTGAGAACAGACAGAAATGAAAATCATCATCATTTAAGAAATTAATGCAACAGTACAATGAAAGAAAGAAAAAATGACAGCCGAGAATACTAAAGATTCTTAACATAGTGAGCATAAGTGAGCGTAAGTTATTTTTAAAAAGACGAAGGGAAAGAAATTTTGGGACCAATCATAAGAATTAAACGTAACTTAAACTAAGTGAAATCGATTTTCAATTCCTTCTCATGCCACCTTTTCGGCTATACCACCGTGTAATTTCTAAGCGTTAAATACTCGTGCATATACGAGGTAAATTACCCTAATAATGGAGTTTTTAAACGATTCACATGAGCGTTAACTCACGGGTCTGATAAATATAACTATTATTGTCTGGAATTTAAACTTCATGAATCGTTCTCCAATTATCTATTTCGTATTTCTTTATAAAATTACTAAATGTTGCACGGAAGAAATGAGAGACGGGACAATTTATAAATGCTAAACGGTACGGAGGGCTTGGAAATGTGAAAGGATTAAAAAGAACATTCAAATAATAAGTATAATTAGTAAGTTAAAGCTTTTGTATTATCGAAGACATGAACATTTTATAAAAACTAACTTGCTACTTTGTTAATGATTATAATACTTTTCAGATTTCAATTCCTGAATTCCTTCAAGCCAAACTATAACGCGGACGATTTGATGCACCAAAGTGTCTAGGACTTTAGGACAAAGAAAAAGGACGCATCACATGATTTAATAAATTTACAGTGGTATCAGCGTGACGTTTATAAAAGTCTATAAGGAGATATTGTACAGAAGTGGGCAATGAAATCAAACTTAAAAATTACCAAAGTAATCACTCTGACCAGACGTTCAACTATCTCTACTATCTCTACTATAATTCAAAAGATTCTTTCTGTAGGATGTACGACCGCCCACGTGCAAATTCGGCAAAAAGCAAAAGGTTGCAAAGTAACCATGGTAACGGTTTCGTTACACGCACGTGCACGTGCAAAGATTGTTAAAGCGGCATTTTTATCGGTTTTGTTGATATTACGTTATGTTTAGTGCGAGCAACATTTTAATCGGCTGTATCTTCGGTTGTGAAGGATATTTTGACGCGATTTAAACTCACTAACAAAAATACTATTAGTTTCCTCCCTGTGACCACGGGTTTTCTAGTCTCTACTATAATTCAAAAGATTCTTTCTGTAGGATGTACGACCGCCCACGTGCAAATTAGATGAAAAATAGTTTTAATGCACACATGCACGTGCAAAATTGTTTTAACGTCATTTTGATCGGTTTTGTGGTAATTATGTTGTGTTTAAAGTGTTTTATATTTAAATCGGCTGTATCTTCGGTTGAGATGGATATTTTTTGATGCGATTAAAACTTTCTTTCAAAGAATACTACTAGCTTCGTCCCTGTTACCACGGGCTTTCTAGTATAATATAAAGTAGTGTTGAAAGTATGAAAATCATATTTTAGCTTATAAATTACTAAAACTAACCTCAAGGGGGGCTTCGAATCTTTTACCGTTTAATTCCAATAACCAAGACAGTAAGTTGCTGAAAACAAAGAACTGTTCTCCAGC